CTGTGTTGCTGCTTATGGAGCATATTTTCTTCACGTTTTCAGATTTTGGCAGGACAGATGGTGAAAGCCTAGTCTAAGTGAACTGAATTGCAAACAGGGATCTCAATGTGAGTAAATCCTGGATGTTAAAATCACAAAGAAACCAAGAGCTTCAGGTGTGGCTTAGCATTAACAACCACATTTATAGCCTTGCTCTAGTGCATCCTGAAGTAATCTTTTCTGCACAGGAAGTTCGTGAGAGCCCCCATCAGCTAGCCTTTCAAGACTAAGCTGCCTTGTCCTTACTGTACAAAAGAACACACAGATTTCTGGTATGATGTTGCTGACTGGCACTGAAACCATGTCACGTCTGCCTCACTGAAAATTATTTCTTTAGCCTGGCTCAAACCAGGACACCTTCCTTAAGGATTTTTGCTTCTGTTGTTTCCTGCATTAAAAATTTCTGTGTACTTGCTCTTAACTGGTGAAGTGCCTAAATGATATTGCAATGTTTGACCCACCTGTCTCTGGGTGTGGTCTCTACCTTGAGTGAAAATCATGTAGTTCACACGCTCTAGCTCCATACTGGTTTCTTTCTGGAGAAGTATTCACATTGTGCTGGTTGTGGATATCATGTGAAACGGAAAAGGACTTAATAAAATTTGGCTAGCCCAGGGGGTGAGGAAAGTAAAGCTTTCATCTTGAAATAAGGGTAACCCAGAGAAGGTGAAAGAGAACTTGTTAGAAAAAAGAATAATATTTGCTGAAGGAGTGACATATGAAATAAGGAAGACTGAAGAATGTATCTCCTAATTTTTTTCCACACTTCTGCAAATATCAGGCTTGTGTTGGTTTTATTGCTTTGCTAACGGTACTGGTCGAGGATTAGCCTTTCACTTTGGGTTCTTTTTCTTAATTTTCTTTAAATTTGGTCAACATTGAGCTGGCAGAGGTAGCTCCCTTTAGCCCTGTAGAAAGCCTAAGTTTTTAAAGTACAGTAATAGTCAGGAACATGGCTCTAGCAAAATATTAGGGGTGTTCATGAAGCTAATTCTTAGTTTCTCACACTACTGGCATATATTTAATTTAGGTTCTAGTCTGCAATTGCTATGAATATATTTCTGATTTTTTTCAGTTTGAATCTCTTTGTTACTGATTCTCCCCCCCTTGCTTCCCGTTTTCTTTCATCATTCATGTATTCATTTCCTTTTCTCTCTTATTTTCATTTCCAGTCAGGCATGTATTCTAAACTACTGAGTTATATTTAGAATATACTGTACCACTGGAATAAGAAATCTCATACTTAGGGGATATTATCCTTTTTCAGCTTGTTTGTGGGTAAGTTGTCCTAGGCATGCATAATGCCTAATATCATGGCATAAGGTTACTTGAGGCTGATAGTAAAATACAGACCAGCTTTCAAAAGGAAAGGCCTGTCGCACAAACTACCCTTAGTCCAGCAAGGAATGTAAGTAAATTGCTAGGTAGAACAGAGTGTGAATTGCTCTCATGGCTTGTATGCTATTAGTTTAGCAGCTTAAATTAAGCAGAGGGTTAATCAGTTGGCTGAAGATAGTCCTAATGTGGTTACTGTGGCAAAGTCTGAGCTTTTAACACAGAGACATAAATATTTGTTTCTAATGGCCCCTGCTTTCAGCAAGGTTACCAAATGTTGCACTTCTCTGTAAAAGTTATCATAGTGACCTGATCTTTTTAGTATGATGTTGTTTTGGACTGGCTCTGCTGTATGGGCAGGTTTCATTCTGCTGCTTTCAGCCTTAGCCAAACACCCTCTGCAGTTCAGTATGAAATTTCATTTATTACTTCTGAAACCTGAAAGGTTTAGCAATATTGCAGATTTCAATCTTTCCTAACATTTTGGCCTTCATACTGAGTATGTAGTCACTACATTTTGACAATATATTTTAAATTCCATTTTCCAAGCAGTGTTTTATTAGATTAACTCAGATAGGAAGAATAGCTTCAGATTTTTCATGAGTGACTTGCATATTCAAACACTGTGTGATATTTAGTTTCAATCTCCAGTGTATGAACTGTAAATTAGCATTAAAGACCTCTCTTAACATCCATTATTCTGTTCAAACAGTCATGCAGAATTACTAGTTGCCAGTAATTTCTCCATGAATACAAATATATCGTCTGTTCTAATGTTGCTCTAACTCTCTTGATCTGCATGTCATGAAAAGAATACCTGAAAATTAGAAAATGGCAAGACTGAACAGGGTAATGGGTTATTGAGACTTTTATTGTAATTTAGTAGAAGTTTCAGGTTTGCTTGAAGATCAAATTGCTATTTTTCCTGAAAGCCAATATTACTTTGGTTGCTGAACATTGTCCTGGAGGATAAATACCCATCCTGCTGGATCCACTGGATGAGCCTCTTGATAGTTTTGAGCATAAAAATCTGACCTGTGAAGATGCGAAGTATGCACTTTTCTGTTGCAAGGGATTACTTCTGTTACTGAGTGAAGTAGCCTTTTAAAGCATTCAGGCAGAACCGTGTGGGGAATAATCACTGCAGACTTTTTTTGGGTAAACAGTATTTCAGACCTCAGAACCCTCCATTTATCACATTGCAAAATTGTGAGAAATGTGGACATAGGCATAATCAATAAATCAGTAAAAACCCTGTAATGTCTGCTGCAGGATGCATTCCAGAGTAGAATTTATGAGCAGAACTGTTGGTGAAGAGCTTGTAATTTCCAGTTCATGTAGCAGTTGTGAAAAACAGCTTTGTATCTTCATATTACTGCAGTTGTTCATCGATTTGCAATATAGGCACTAGGATCCATGCTGCCCAAGGAGCTTAGGCAGTCTGGTGGCATGCACTCAATAATTCTGAAGATGTAAATCAAACTCTGACTACTGGAACAAGCACCCCTCCATGATAATACCTTCTCACTGTGTTGCCACATACTCTCATTGCTGCAGTGTGTCTCCACCTGCTTATACTGCCTCCTGTTATCTCTGGTATCTCCCACTGGGTGCTGTAGTGTTCATAGCACTTGGCCATAAAAAACCTTACCACCTCATCCATCCAATCTGAATCCCTTTTTGCAACCTACTGCATGTTTTTTTTCCTATGTCATGCAGCTAAACAAGGCAAAGCAGGGAGTTGGAAATTCATTAGTTCTTCCAAGAACTCATCATGCCTGAACATTTGTTTTAAATCACATAGGGTTTAAGATCCTTTGACATTCCTTGATTAGTTTTTAAGGGAAAATAAAACTCCAGCTTAAGCTTCTGATCTTTAACAGCATTTAGAACTCCAGTGTTCAAATCAATGCTTTAAACCACTGTTAGACACATATAACCAGAAATTAATTAGCCTGGAGAAGAATGAATAAAACTTGATTATATTTAAGTTTGTATATCAGTTTCCATTTGTAGTGAAATCAAGACCTATTCAGCTTTATGATCATTCATGGAGATGGCTTGATTTACATTCTTAGAGATTAAACATTTTTTGCTTGCTCAATGTCTTTGTATATTACAAATAACCTTATTAAAAACCTCTCATGGCTTGGCTGTCTTAGTAGGAATGTTATCACGCACAGCTCAAACTTGTGCAATGAGAAGACACATGCTTTAACAACAAGCCTGGCTCTATCCCTGTATTTGCACTATTTAGCTGATAAGGGCAAAAGCTCATCTGTGATAATGCTTGATACTACTTTATGCTTGATAATAGTACGTGGCTGCTAGCTGTGGATAACCTGCACAATAGTAGCCATGACCAAGTCTGCTCCTCTTCAAATCAAACTAATTCATCCTGTGACCTGGAGCAAAGCAAGTGCAAAACACTACTCCCTTTTCACCTGCTCTGTCAACTGATTTAGAGTCCTCTGCTTCCTCAGTTTCAGTCTGAAGAAGCTCTGGTTGTCTCAGATGGGAGCGGTGACAGTGTTGTTGACCAGTCATTTACCCAGTTACTGCCATTATGCAGGCACAATACTTTCATACCTAAACTCCCCTCTTGTGGATTTTTTTTATCTAATCATGGCTGTCCCATCACTAGTGCTGCTGAGTGCCCTGCACTAATAGAGATGGACAGACTTACCCTTGCAGCAGCCAGTCCTAAGATATAGCTATTTTGCAGAAATATTTGATTAGAACCACTTGCTTTGTTTCAGCAATTAAAAAAAGTCATCATCTTAAAATATACATTTAGAATGATCTTACATACTGGGAAGTTTTGTTGTTTTGTAAGCTTTGTGGGCTGCAAAGCTGTAATGACAACTGCCTTGTGGAATAACTGCTGTTTAAATAGTGATCATATCCATTGAGTGCAGCAATAAAAAGGGATCTATGACTGATTCTATATATTTCAATGCTTCCTACTATTGATGGTCAATTTGTGGCAGCCTGATGCAGCCCTATATGAGCTATGCTATGAGGTGCATTTAGAAAGCAAGTGTTGGGCTGGTTGTCAGGAAAAATCGATACTGTGAGCATGAAGAAGCTTGGTGTGTAATGTCTGATGAGCTGCATTGTAAATGTCTTTTTAGATCAAATATGTCTTAAGCAAAATTAATTCTGCTTTTTCTGTATAAATGTAATAGCTACTGGAATAGTAGCTATCTGTGGATTTGTTCAGAGCCAGCTGTATAAATGCTGTAATCATGTGAGCATGAGAAGTGTTGGGAAGCTATTCCTCTCAATTTCAGCTGGCTCAAGACTATAAGAAACATTCAAAGTCTGTCTGTGTGTGAGGTGCATAGTACAGTCAAGTATAACCTGAGATACCACATGACTAATGGGTTTACAGTGGGTTGGCAGAGCCCTACATATCTTTTTAAATAAAACTGCTGCAGTTAGAAAACATGCATATTGTAGGTATGTGGATGATGGTAAAATCTTTCCTCAAGGCAGTAGACATTTAATTGGTAAAATCTAAGCTTGCTTTGATTTTTGTGCTTAGTACATCTTTTAACCTTTTTAGTCACATAGTAGTAACTTGTTTGGTTTAGTCTCATTTCCTGTGTTTAATGTTATACTGTTCATGTCAAAGAATTCATCTGGTGTTGACCTGCAGTGTGTTCAAGCTGGAGTTTGTACCCTCCTAATCCAAGGTCTCCTTCATCAATATCTTCCTTGCTTGTAGCCTGGGTAGAGCATGTTCTGTCCTGCACTGGCATGTGAGATGATTCAGAGTTTTCAGTCAGTTCATCATTATTTATGATATAATCTGTGTCATCATCCTTTAGTCGATCCTGTATTCAAGCAAAGTAAATGATCAGTGCAAGAGAGACTCTTGTGGAGGATTTTTGTTAAATCTTACATGAAAAGCAAGTCTGATACAGTTTCACTTTCATTTAATTTCATTATTTGCTTATTTTTTCAGGTGTTTAGTTACCATCGTCATGTAGATTTAAGCAAATATTTGCTTACCACGTTCTGCTCTTGAGCAGTGTTCAGAAACATAACTTGCCCTTCAGATCTTTAATTTCAGTGCTTAAATATCACTGAGCAGCCAATACTTCCAGCATCTGGCTGATTTATTTTAAAAATGCCACTCATATTTGAAGTTCACATTATTAGTAACTATTCCTGAAAATGAAGCCCTGCATGTTCTGAGACAGTTTTTCCCCAACCCTGATGAAATTCTATATTTCTTATCCTTCCAAAGTAATAAGCTTTGGAAAAAGGACTTTACCAAAGTGTTTAATTGAGTACGGCAGGTTTTGGATTACACTTTAAATGCAATTAACCAAGCTATGTACTTACCCCATATGCACTGGGACTAGTCAGAAGCCTGGCAACAGGATTACACCATTCAGGTAGCGTTGTTGTGAGAGGTGGGCCAGTGTGGGTTAAGATAGGTTTTAGGTATCTGTGAAGTTTGTTAAAGAAAATTTCCCATGCAGATTTTGATACTAATATACTTCTCTATTCCAGAGAAATTTCAGTTTGAAAGCATAATGGAATTTAACTGAATGGAAAAATAAAACATAGCATCTCTTTACCTACTTGTTACTGCATATGTTCATAGAATCAGAGAATGGTAGGGGTTGGAAGGGACCTCTGGAGATGGAGTCAAACCCTCCTGCCAGATCAGGATCACCTAGGAAAGGTCACACAGAAATGTGTCCAGATGAGTCTTGAAAGTCTCTAGAGAAGGAGACTGGCTCCTCCTTCTTGTTGCCCACCCTTCAGATATTTGTAAACTTCAATAATATACCCTCTCAGTCTTTTCTTCTCTAGACTAAACAGCCCCAGGTCCCTCAGCCTTTCCTCATAAGACATGTGTTTCAGTCCCATAATCATCCTTGTAGGCCTCAGTTGAATTCTCTGTAGTGTATCCCTATTCCTCTTGAACTAGGGAGCCCAAAACTGGACACAATACTCCAGGTGTGTTCTTAATAGGGCAGAGTAGAGGGTGAGGAGACTGCTCAACCTGCTGGATGCACTCTTCTTAATGCCTGTCATCAGTCTAACATATTTCAGAAACAACACTAAAAAGCCAGCAAAACCCAAACCACCCCTCAAAAAAACCTCCCAAAACACTTGGTGCTCAAAATCTCTCTTGAAGGGTACTTGAATGGCTGAAGAGGTTGTGTTATGGAGTACTCAAATGCAGTAGGAGCTGGAAGAGAGGAAATGTATACTACATTATCCTGTTTACTATTCTCAGTGTGATCTCTTATGCAATTTTAACAGGAAAAAATTTAAGATGGAGTTGTATTAGCTGCTCTATGTAAGAACAATAGTGAATGCTTTCTTAAGCACAAATACTGAAGCCTTTTGTAAAATCAGTGCATTTCTTCAATGGGCCAAGTATTTAATGAAATATTGAGTTTCTTCGCCACTGGGAGTGTACATAAATTGTTCTCTGTAGTACTTTATTTTCAGCATTCAACACATTTGTTTTACACTTCATACATCAATGCTCCTTTATATAAAATTATGTAAATAGGTTAGGAGAAGGCTTTATGCTATTGTCTCATACCTGTCTTTCAAATCCTTTAATCTAAGTGCTTTATTGAGATAAAAGAAAAACCTGCTCATCTTGAGTAAGTACATCATCCTCATATCTGTCAATAACAGCTCTCCCATGAGTCCCTCAAGTTGAGTTTTCTTCTCTGCTACTTGTATTTGCAAAGAAATTTTCAGTGTTCTTTATGCAGGTCTGTCATCTACTTTTGCTACTAGGGAAAATTTGCTTTATTGATTGTCACCCTGCATTATCCCCCCTATTCCTTTCTCTTGCTTTCTTGCTCTTTTGCTCTTTCTCTCTGCGTCCTCAAAGAAAAAGGGAACAAGTGTAAAACTGAGTAGTGACTTGGGCTCTGCAGCAATATTGAAGAAATACTGAATAACAATGGGTCTTCAACTTAACCATTCCTTTTCATTATAATTTGTTTATGGGATCGCTGCGTTACACACGAAGTATGAATTCTGTATCCTGAAGAAACTTAAGTAAAACATCCTTATATTCTCCATTACAGGTTGCAAAACTGAGTAACTTGCTCTGCTGGGAAGTTGTTCTATAGTAACTGAGATTTTTCTGTGTACATCGGTGCATTCTGAAAATTAAATTGCATCTGTCAGAATATTTTCATTCCTTCATTTGAGGTTATATACTGAGTTAATGAGAAAAATAGAGCTTACTTTAAAAAATTGTAAGATTTTAATATAAGCTCTTATCAGAACCATGATCAAATTAGGAATCTCATGAGGTGAGATTGTACAAGGAAAGTTTAGATCCTCTTGCTTCTGTGAGAGTAAAATGATACCAAGCAATCCTTTTCTGGCCCACACCCAGTTTTATTTGAAACCTCCGAAGAGTGAAGTAATTAAAAGCTATTATTAAAAAGAAAAGTACAAAAGCCGTAGTTTAGACTTGTGTTGTTTCTCAATGCTTCAGAAAAACCTAATGAAAAGGCCAAAAATGGAAGTAGGAGCCTAATTTTAGGCATAAACTTGAGTGCCTGATGCGTTTAACTGGTTGCTATGTGTGTACACTGTTTAAGTTGAGTGATAACTTCATTTTGGATTGCAATAGGTCCTCTTCCTTCCTGTTGTATTTGTTATATAACACGTTTATTGTGTATTGTCCAAGCTTCTGCTTGGAAGCCTCTCGAGATGCAGTTTTAAGTGAAAAAAATTTTATTGTGCTTGTTGTGATGCTTTTGATTCTCTAAGAAATTATTTAACTCTTATTTATCTAGTTACTATTCAGCCCACTAAACTTATATTGCACTTGCCTATTTATCATTGTTTTGGTAAACTCTGCCAGAAATTTTTCCTCTTTATTGTTGACATAGTTGCCTTATGACAGACATAATTGTATAGTTCAGTGCAGCATGAAAGAGGAATTCTAATCCCTGTGTACTGCTGGTATTTCAAAAGTATAAAAAACATGGGTCTATGGCATTTTTAAGGCTGGCAAGAAGTCTTATCACACTTCAGCTGTTCTTGTTGGATCCCCCAGCATCTTCAGTAAGAAATAATTTCAATACTGTGGTGGAAAAAAGTAGATTTTGCACTAAGGTTGTTTTAAAAGTTGGAAGAAACTGACTATAAACCTCTTAGCATAACTCATAAATTACTGCTAAAACAAAAGAATGCCTGCCTAATTAAGGGGTAGGGGAAAAGGTGGCAGGAAAACACTATTAATCAAACACTTTCTACTTTTGCACTTCAGCCCTCTGTGGGTGGGTCAGCCCACCTGCATGTTTTAGATTCTACACTATACAAATATACTGTGCTAAAGAACATTGTTAGTACAATAAAGGTGGTAAGTTCAAAGCTGGGAAACTGAGTTCAGGATGCCTGTATATGCACATGTATAGAATTTTAATCTGTATACAGTGCTGGTATGTTTTCATAATCAAATACCAATTTTTCCATTGATTCTACACATCTCCAGACTTCTGTTCTTGGTTCATGTGCCCAAAGATGTTTACGCTGGGTACCCTTATTTATACTTGAACATCCCTTTGCCCAGGTGGTTCCAAGTCTTTCTTTGCTACTAGCCAGGCACAGTTCCTCTCCCTTCCTCTTTCACTGACACCAGCCCCAACATCTAAATCTGTTTACCCCTTCCTGGCCCAGCTTCTGTCTCTTCTGGACTTGTCTTGTATTATGTCCTCTTTCTACACTGCCCAGCAATAAGCAATGAAGGCAATGCTGTTGCAGACAAGGCAGTCAGGTATCTGAACAAGATAATCTGAAGTTGAACTACTGACAGGTTGTTCACTGGGGCTGTGATGGGGTTGAACAATTGGAATAGGGGCTATGGGATTGTAAAGTGTGGTCAATAGCAATAGGACACCCAGAATTTAACTTCTGAAATGGAAGGGCTGCTTGTTTGTTTTTGGTTTGGTGTTGTGTTTTGTGGTGTGTGGTTTTTTTTTTGTTTGTTTCTTTTGAAGGTGTATGATCTAGTTTAGGCTGGAGATTCAAAGAAATGGCAAATGGCATCTCCAGGGTGTAACAAGAAGGCTTTGCTCTATGTACAGTGCATTAAAAAATAATCTCATGAGGATATATTGGGAACAGAACCATGGAATTGCCTCACTGCTTGTCTCCCACAACATTGTCTAAACAAAACATCTACTTGACAAAGACAATTTCATGTTAGCTATGCGATAAGCTAAAGGGGAAACACTGCCATTTTGGTACTGTTTGAGTGGGAGCAGGAAAACCACGTAACTTTGATTATCTGGCTAAGTTCTGCATGTGGCTGATGCCTGCTAACAGCTGACTGAGATTATTTGGTTACTTTATGAAACTGTTGGTGTGCATAACTGACCTGGTGAGGCACAGAGACATCTCCAGGTCTTGCATCCACAGCAGATTAAGATCACACTAAGAAGGAGAAGTGTTTTAGAGGGCTATCTCCTGTCTCTTGCAATAGAGTATGATTTCTTGTGCACCACAGAATTTTCTTCAGAGGGTGGGGAGTTACCAGTATGGAACTATTGAAAAGTACAGGGCATGGTTATATTAGATTTAGTTGTTAGAATAACAGCTATGTTTTGGAAAAGACAGATCTGCAGTGACTTTACATGTGAACTAACCTGATCTACACTGTGGAGAAAGCTGAGAAGGCATCCCTAAATCTGGCATGAATAATATTTTAACTTAAAGATGTTACTAGTGAACTATGTGGTAGTTCTTTGTGTCTCTTTCTTCTCTTTATGAAGTTGTTATAAAAAACAGAAACACCCACTAATTTTGTAAATGAAAATACTAAACAACTGAGGATAAATGGATTCATAGTGTAGTCCTGCAAATTCAAGTAATTGGGTCTCTCTTTTTTTTTTTTTCCAAGATTCATTCACTTGGTCTTTCTTGGTCTTTTTCATGTCTGAGAGCATGGAGAATGGATGAAAAACAGTGGTAATAAAAAATTGTTCTATGTATCCTTACAAGGAAGTCTGTCTGTTTCTAGAGCCATATGTTCTGTCAGACCCAAAGAATTGACTCTAGTTTTTGATGTAGACTATGGCTAAAAATTCACTGCTTTCAACTTTGAAACTGGTAGCATTTCAGAGATGTGGGAAAAATAGAGGAAATTAATAGAGCTGATCTTAGTCAGGTCTTTTTATACACAAGCAGCTGCAGACTGAGTAGTGGCTTTTTCTTCAGTATGCACCAAGTAAAATGTTGAGGATGTTTGCAGACCATGGGCTTCTAGTTGTGAGCTCACTGAAGCAGAGAGGAAAAATTAAGATACCTTACTCAAGTTATTTGAAGCCTCTTATATCCCAAATAGAACCCTCCATGCAAAGAAAAACTCAGATGTAAATGGACACTTGCTTTTAAATAATTGAAGATAGGGCATTCAAAAGGATAGAAGAATACTCATAAGATTCAAAAGAAATA